GTGGGTGTCTATTTTTCGTATACCTTAAATCAAAACTACAATTTGACAATGTTACATAAAATGGACTCAGGACATAGTTATTTGTTGGTGATTTTACTATGTGGATGTAATAAGTTTTTTTGCATGCATTACTATATTTTCAAGTGATGTATCGCTAGGATTTTGTTGTTGTGTAGAATTCATTAAACTGCTTATCAGTGCAACACTTATAAGTAAGTAGTATATTGGTTCAGACAAAAAATATATACGCCAAAGTTGATTTTTGTGGTTCACATTCAAAAGTACTTGAAATCAGTCAGGTTTAACTAACAATGCGGAAATAATTGATCTAAAGTAGCATACATCCCTTAGGATAAATGAGATTCTATCCTGTGGGACTGAATATAACGGAGTCATTTCTAACAGTCTACTACAGACGTCCAGCAACAGCATGCTTTCAGGTAGTAAGTATCCCAACCCACGAACAATCTAGGCGGCAGGTTTTTATGGTGCTCATAATGAAGCAAGAATTTTTCAATATATACACTCAAATATATATATATTAAATACACATATATATATATATATGGATATATATTTATTTATGTAACATTAGTTGTTTCAATTTCTAATCAATGAATAATATTCAGGTAGAAGGTGATTTCTCTGAATATGAGTCACCGATGCCAGAATTTGCTGATGGCGCTATCGGTTTGAATGGTGTAGTTATACAGAGGAAGAATTTGTGGCCGCTCGCCTACTTCATTGACTCCTTGTTGGTGTAGGTTGATTTTGTGCTGGTAGTCCTGGGAAGGGAATGTATACTCGACTGTATGTGAATATTTCAAATGAGTAAAGTAAGTATAGTGTAACCTTTGAATTTTTCAAGAGAAATATTTACAGACACACACAGACACACATAGGTTTGTGGTGAGTTGTTAATTTGTTTTACTGTATTATTGGTTGTGTGGTTGGTTTGAGTAGTTAGCCAACTAAGCTGCTAGCTAGCCAGCTAGTTAGGTAGCTAGTTAGCTGTCTGGCTGGCTGGCTAGCTGCCAATCGGAGTGGGGATAGGAGTTGAGACTAGTTGAACTCTTCCTGACAGTCTTGTCATTCATCTATGTGACCTGTCTGAGAAAAGAAAGGTGTCTACTCGCCGATGATATTGTGATATCAGTGTGTAGGAGAATATAGCTCCGGGCGGAATACGACCAGCTAGACATTGCAAATAATATTATCACTGATGGCTGGCTTACTGGCTGACTGACAGATTGACTGACTGTTTTGTAGATTTTGGGACGTCAGCCAATATTTGTAGCCGACTGTCCCATGCAAAAATATAATGACTGGGTGAAATGTCTTCACTTCATTGGAAGACATTCCAACCAGTCATTTTTTCAATGAACTGACGATTCACCTACTACGAATTGTGACAGCAACCCAGTCTGTGGGTGTCTATTTTTCGTATACCTTAAATCAAAACTACAATTTGACAATGTTACATAAAATGGACTCAGGACATAGTTATTTGTTGGTGATTTTACTATGTGGATGTCAAATTTTGCATGCATTACTATATTTTCAAGTGATGTATCGCTAGGATTTTGTTGTTGTGTAGAATTCATTAAACTGCTTATCAGTGCAACACTTATAAGTAAGTAGTATATTGGTTCAGACAAAAAATATATACGCCAAAGTTGATTTTTGTGGTTCACATTCAAAAGTAATTGAAATCAGTCAGGTTTAACTAACAATGCGGAAATAATTGATCTAAAGTAGCATACATCCCTTAGGATAAATGGATTCTATGAGATTCTATCCTGTGGGACTGAATATAACGGAGTCATTTCTAACAGGCTACTACAGACGTCCAGCAACAGCATGCTTTCAGGTAGTGAGTATCCCAACCCACGAACAATCTAGGCGGCAGGTTTTTATGGTGCTCATAATGAAGCAAGATTTTTTCAATATATACACTCAAATATATATATAGTAATACATATATATATATATATACAGATGTCTTTTTCTTTATGCAACATTAGTTGTTTCTATTTCTAATCAATGAATAATATTCAGGTAGAAGGTGATTTCTCTGAATATGAGTCACCGATGCCAGAATTTGCTGATGGCGCTATCGGTTTGAATGGTGTAGTTATACAGAGGAAGAATTTGTGGCCTCTCGCCTACTTCATTGACTCCTTGTTGGTGTAGGTTGATTTTGTGCTGGTAGTCCTGGGAAGGGAATGTATACTCGACTGTATGTGAATATTTCAAATGAGTAAATTAAGTATAGTGTAACTTTTGAATTTTTCAAGAGAAATATTTACAGACACACACAGACACACATAGGTTTGTGGTGAGTTGTTAATTTGTTTTACTGTATTGTTGGTTGTGTGGTTGGTTTGAGTAGTTAGCCAACTAAGCTGCTAGCTAGCCAGCTAGTTAGGTAGCTAGTTAGCTGTCTGGCTGGCTGGCTAGCTGCCAATCGGAGTGGGGATAGGAGTTGAGACTAGTTGAACTCTTCCTGACAGTCTTGTCATTCATCTATGTGACCTGTCTGAGAAAAGAAAGGTGTCTACTCGCCGATGATATTGTGATATCAGTGTGTAGGAGAATATAGCTCCGGGCGGAATACGACCAGCTAGACATTGCAAATAATATTATCACTGATGGCTGTCTTACTGGCTGACTGACAGATTGACTGACTGTTTTGTAGATTTTGGGACGTTGATGGCGCTATCGGTTTGAATGGTGTAGTTATACAGAGGAAGAATTTGTGGCCTCTCGCCTACTTCATTGACTCCTTGTTGGTGGAGGTTGATTTTGTGCTGGTAGTCCTGGGAAGGGAATGTATACTCGACTGTATGTGAATATTTCAAATGAGTAAATTAAGTATAGTGTAACTTTTGAATTTTTCAAGAGAAATATTTACAGACACACACAGACACACATAGGTTTGTGGTGAGTTGTTAATTTGTTTTACTGTATTGTTGGTTGGTTGGTTTGAGTAGTTAGCCAACTAAGCTGCTAGCTAGCCAGCTAGTTAGGTAGCTAGTTAGCTGTCTGGCTGGCTGGCTAGCTGCCAATCGGAGTGGGGATAGGAGTTGAGACTAGTTGAACTCTTCCTGACAGTCTTGTCATTCATCTATGTGACCTGTCTGAGAAAAAAGGTGTCTACTCGCCGATGATATTGTGATATCAGTGTGTAGGAGAATATAGCTCCGGGCGGAATACGACCAGCTAGACATTGCAAATAATATTATCACTGATGGCTGTCTTACTGGCTGACTGACAGATTGACTGACTGTTTTGTAGATTTTGGGACGTCGATGGCGCTATCGGTTTGAATGGTGTAGTTATACAGAGGAAGAATTTGTGGCCTCTCGCCTACTTCATTGACTCCTTGTTGGTGTAGGTTGATTTTGTGCTGGTAGTCCTGGGAAGGGAATGTATACTCGACTGTATGTGAATATTTCAAATGAGTAAATTAAGTATAGTGTAACTTTTGAATTTTTCAAGAGAAATATTTACAGACACACACAGACACACATAGGTTTGTGGTGAGTTGTTAATTTGTTTTACTGTATTGTTGGTTGGTTGGTTTGAGTAGTTAGCCAACTAAGCTGCTAGCTAGCCAGCTAGTTAGGTAGCTAGTTAGCTGTCTGGCTGGCTGGCTAGCTGCCAATCGGAGTGGGGATAGGAGTTGAGACTAGTTGAACTCTTCCTGACAGTCTTGTCATTCATCTATGTGACCTGTCTGAGAAAAGAAAGGTGTCTACTCGCCGATGATATTGTGATATCAGTGTGTAGGAGAATATAGCTCCGGGCGGAATACGACCAGCTAGACATTGCAAATAATATTATCACTGATGGCTGTCTTACTGGCTGACTGACAGATTGACTGACTGTTTTGTAGATTTTGGGACGTCAGCCAATATTTGTAGCCGACTGTCCCATGCAAAAATATAATGACTGGGTGAAATGTCTTCACTTCATTGGAAGACATTCCAACCAGTCATTTTTTCAATGAACTGACGATTCACCTACTACGAATTGTGACAGCAACCCAGTCTGTGGGTGTCTATTTTTCGTATACCTTAAATCAAAACTACAATTTGACAATGTTACATAGAATGGACTCAGGACATAGTTATTTGTTGGTGATTTTACTATGTGGATGTCAAAAGTTTGCTGACTTTTGCATGCATTACTATATTTTCAAGTGATGTATCGCTAGGATTTTGTTGTTGTGTAGAATTCATTAAACTGCTTATCAGTGCAACACTTATAAGTAAGTAGTATATTGGTTCAGACGAAAAATATATACGCCAAAGTTGATTTTTTTGGTATACTCCATTCAGGGGCTCGGTGCGTGTTTCCTGAATAAACCCACCTTCTTCGGTCTGGGCGCCCGAGCAGTATCTCAGCCCTCACACAATTATTGTGTGGCGCATCTTTCCTGGTGCCATTAAATAATTAAAAAATTATAAAATAATTTAGCACAGTCATTGCTGTTGTGCTATCTCGATCAAATGTTCGTTGTCCATAAGTTGCTAAAATATGGTTACACTTACTGTACGTCAAAATAAAAAAAAACAACTGTATATCTTTATACCAAGACTGTTCTTCAAAGCTGTTCGTCTGAGAGATATGTGTCAGTGAAAAGTTTATCAACATCTATAAAGCCTTATACAACAAAAACGAAAAAAAAACACTTCAGGTAGAATGACAGCATACAACCAGCTATTGCCAAAAAGTAGTCGGTTTATACGGCTGTCATGTGCTTGAGGGGTTATCATTCAATAATACAGTACAAAAGATGGAACAGAATCTTAAGCAAGGTAGTTCTGTACAAAGATGTAGAGTTGTCAGTGGAATTTATTAATTCTGCAATCTGCCATTTACACACTTCAAGGTGAAATTCCACCACAAGTTTCCTTTTGAAATCTGAATTATTCGGATCACACACAGTATGTGATCTGCTTCATATCAGAAATGCCAATCAGAAAAGCAAGTAAAATATATAATATCACGTTATATACTACCGACTGATTGGTATGACCGGTTGGTTGATGTATGTGATATCCAACTATTCAATTAGTAGTATATACATGCAAAGTAGAATTTGTCATTTGAATTTCATTGATCGCATACAGATTCATTCCGTATCCAAATCATACTGCATACGAATGAGCAGTTTTACCATCTTTAACATGATTGGTGTATAACTCGAATAATTCTATTGGTTAATCGTGACTGTCTTTATGTTGCCTACTATTTAATTAGTTGTGTATCTCGGGAAAATGCCTGCTGATAATAATGGTGAAAATTAATACAGACGGCTTAGTCGAAAGACAAATGCAACTACGCTTTGAGGATAATACACACTTACCAGTAACATGTGGCCAACAGGTCAATTTTTGTATCACATCTAAGTGATCATCAATTTTTTCTAAAGAATAATTGACATTTGAATTGTTAACATCATTCAGTTTTAGGCCTGATTCATTATTGATACTGGCTAATGGTGTCCCATTGATGAGGTTAGCATTGTTATTATTGCTACTATAGGGTAGAAGTGCTTCCAAACGGTAGGATTGAATAGGAGTACCACCATCGTCCTCTGGGGGGTCCCATGTTAATGCTAATCGGTTGGTTGTAAAAGTGAACCATAGATCTAGACACAAATATAAGATAAGATATGTTTAACAAAAAGGCTATATACATACATAAGAGGAAAACGACTTCTGTTCATACAGACAGGTCAACTGTTTCAAAAAGAAATGCATATTAAAGTAGTTTCATCAATGAAGTTACTAAACATTGGCTTGAGTCGTAAAGACAGGACAGAAGTACTTTAGATGTCGCTGCTATCTTACATCATTTCTTGCTTAAACGAAGGAGTCAAATATGTTCAATGTATCTGCCTTGACTACAGATCCGCCTTTAACTCTATACCCAGATGTCTTTTGTTATATAAGCTTTCTTTGACCCAAACTGAGTCCTGGGCTGTTAACTGAATGTATTCCCTTATTTCTACAGCAGAGTGCAGTTTTTCGTATATAAATATAAATCCTTCTTTGCCTTGCTTACAGAAGTCGGTGTCTCTCAAGGTGTTGTTCTCTCTCCTCTCCTTTTTTTCCTTCTTCTCACACGACTTGCCTCTTTTGGAAGAAATCAACTTTATAAAATATGCTGGTGGTCTTGTAACAACAACAACGGAAGCCAAAGTTCATTTTTCATTGATCAAACCGCTGTTTATATATCTAGAGTTAATATTCTTTAACCAATCACTGAGCGTGTGAAATAGAATGTCCAAACAGACATATTGTATTCTGTTGCTATTGCCGAACTGAACTGTGGGAATATGTGAGAATAATATTTTGTTGGCACACATTGTCTGTATCACACCACCACAGTCTAACTGTCTCAATGTTAGTTACTAGCGGATCTGACTGTTCCAAATTTGTCGGATATCGGTCAATGGTTTGAGTAAAATGACCATACGTTAAATGTCAGACGGTTAACTTTTCCTTCAGGCATAAACGTTATCTAAACGACTTGGCACGTTCACAGCATGCTTGAAGTATAGAAAGTAAGTCAACTATAAAATACCTTGCAATAGTTCTGTTCTCTGATCTTTCTCAGCCATGCCATGTCTTACTGGTATTAGATGGTTGGAGGCAATCGGCCACAGGAATCCTTGGACCGAGGTTTCGTGCTAGTTGGTAATCGTCAGTAAGGCGTACCTGAAACCTTGAAGGAACTTAATTCCCTTCTGAGAGTCGAACTCGCGTCACCCAGTGCTGCAGTCACAGGAACATGAGCTCCTTCAAGGTTGCAGATACGCCTTGCTGACGATTGCCAACAAGCACGAAACCTCGGTCCAAGGATTCCTGTGGCCGATTGCCTCCAACCATCTAATAGTTACAGAGTGTTTAGTAAGGATGGTTAGTCAGTTTGCATAGGAATGCAGTCGTTCAAGTTGCCAAACCTAAGTAGCTTTAATGAAACTATAGTGAATGACGATGTATGGAAGAAAGATGAAGACACCACTCTGCAGTTTCAGAGCCCAAAAGATCATAAGGAATGAATACATTTACGCCACTGTGAATAACTTTTAGTCATTTCAACGATAGCCTCAAGCAACTGAAGCTCAGCGGTCCAAGGACTCAAACCAGCAGTTTAAAAATTCATATATCCGTATCATATTTTCGTCTGACCATCCCTAACTGTCTTCAAACTTAATCTTTTTTAAGATAAAATTGATTGCTAATGTAAGCAGTGATGAGTAGGTCTGTAAGCTAATACATCCAGTTATTTATTCAACAATTCCTCAACCCCTCTTCACAATTTACTACCTTTATATTTATTTAAAATTGCTTATTCGAAAGTTTTTAAAATGCCTTAAGAGAAGTACAATAACTTACTCTTAAATTTCTCGGTGCAGATGGATGATCTGGAAGTGTGGCTAAAGTTACTGTTTCACTCCAACGACTTCGACCATCTATATTAGACGCTGCTAAGCGGAATCGATATCGTGTATTACGGCGTAAATTATCAACACAATGTTCTGTACCAGTGCCATCAAAAACAGTGACAAAGCCATGCCCCATAGCTTGATCATCCATTTCTAGCGTATATGTAATTGGATTTAAATGATTTGAATAGCTAGAAGAATTTGTTTGTTCACAGATATTATCATGAAGATGATGATGATGATGATGGTGGTGGTGATGATGATGATGAAGGTGATGATGATAATGATGACTATGATATTGGTGATATTGATCAGTTAAATTACTTGGTGGACGCCAACCAAGTGTTAATGAATGAACATCAGCTTGAATTAAAAATGGTGGAGATGGCATATCTGGTGGACTACCGGAAGTTGAAGCTGACAGTATTGGACTCCATGAACTTGAGAAAAGAAAAAAACAAAGACAACATATTTCATAACGATTCATCAAATTATAATTTTCAGAAAGAAGTATAGTAATCAGAAAACATACATCATAAGAAACTACTCACAACATATTATCAGTAACAGGTTTGATCACTAACTGACATCAGTAAGAGAAACATTAGGGAACTAGAGAGTATTGGAAATACCTGAGGTTCTAGCGAGAAGTTCATCAAGTCCGGTGAGAGAACAGTTACTCACTTATGACAATGGCCGGCAGTTGAACTATGCATATAGCGAATCGACAGAAGTTAGAGTTCATAGGTCATTGGATCCCGGGTCACAGTGGTTAGAAATGCTCGTAACTGTTCACGTCTATCAGTAATTCTTATTTCCAACTATTCACATCAATGATTTGTATATACCATGTTGTGATTTTCTCGCTTTCTTGATGCTAGCGGAAAACCCACACGTTGTGGTCTAAATATTTCCAGTTCTCAAAACAAACTATGGTCAATTTAATTGAATTTTTGATCTTCCGTCGATTGATTGGATCGATGTGCTCGGTTTCAGGTTGACATGTCGGCTTCTTATGCAGATGCTTCGACGAGGTCTGGGCATTTAGTTAGTATTTAATTGGTGGATGGTGACTAGAAGTGGAATCCAGGATGCGCATTTTGTCCTATTTGGGACTCGTCAGCTGGATGTACCTGCATTTCTCAGTGAGTGATGACGTTCCCACCGAGACCCACGTGGTCTAGTGGATAACACTCTGGCGTTTGAAACTATGGGTACTGGGTTTGAGCCTCGGTAGGAACGCCATCACTCACTGAGAAATGCAGGTACATCCAGCTGACGTGTTTCAAATAGGATGAAATGTGCTTCCTGGATTCCACTGCTAGGCACCATCCACCAATTAAATGCTATATCTTTTAATCTCGTTTCTACTCTGGGCAGCTTTGCAGGTCTCATACATGGTGCGGACGTTCCATGTCCCCACACAGACTTTTTCTTTTGTCACAAGGAGGCTCATCGCACTGATGTTTCTGTAGCAGCTTTGTATACAGGGAGGGGTTGCTAGCCTCACGCCTGAAAAAGGGGTTGTTACATGTATGTGTAGCTTGAAATGAAGCGACCTTATGGGTAGCTCCCCTTAGAATCAGGAAAACCCGGAATAAAGCAATCAGACCAAAGCCAGCAAAGGGAAAATTTAACAAATTCACAACAGGAAGGGCAGCGACAAAAACTTGGGGGAACTTGAAACTAATTTTTTGACTGACTTCCCTAAAATTAATCTGCGACGACTGCGACAGTATTTTGAGTGGATTACATGTTTCCCAAAACATTTTTGTCAATTATTGTGGCTTTCTGAAAATGGTTGTCTGGCATTCTCATACACGTCTCCTTTGTCTTATCATTACCGGAAGACTTTGGATAAACCGTTTGAAAGAGTACAGAAACCTACAACACTTTTATCTTATGTGTTGATGACGTCTGGACTGTTAAAAGCTTCATGTAAGTGCGAAAAGGACAATCTACACAGAACAAGTGTTTTTCCCGGCTGTAGGTGACAATAGGCTTCAAATGTAGTTGGTTCATTCTCCTTTATTATCATTTATTTATTCGTCCATGAGAGAAGTGGATTGTGAATTGCGAATCCCGCCACGTCAATTGTTCAAACTTGAGATGCGTTTGAAAGACCTTATGTGGGTTATTTTAAGTGGCGTAAGACGATCAAAGTGGATTATTGTTTGTTAGATCTTCGTTCATCCACTGTTTTTATGTTTTTCCTGCAGTTATTTGTCATTATTCTCCACACAGATTACTCAAATGTGTTGTATTTGACGCCCTGCTTGTATTTTTTTATTTTGTTTGTTTTGAAAGTTCCTGCCGCCAGGTCAGTTCATTAGTTTCATTGTAATTGTTTCCTGCGTTGCCTTTGTGGTGTTTCAGTTGTTTTTTGGCTGTTAGTGGTGTATTGCTGTAAATAAGTACTGGAAATTATGCCCATAAACTTGTTTTGGTTGCACAAACTGCTGTATCCAGTTTTCTTTGGTTACTGTTGTCGTCGCCAGCTCAAGTCGTTAATTAGTCTTTATAAATCTGGAAATTAATAATATCTTCGTTGTCGGTACCTATTACATGCAAACATTTGCAAGCCAATCCGTTTAAGAAAGCACGACCACAGTTGCTACTAGCAAGATTTATGAATTACATATTGAGCCCAGATAATTGTTTTGATTGGAGCTTGCTTTCACACCGTATTTTTTGGTGCGAGTGTGGAATTTTCAGCATGCGATATCGGTGGCCCAAACTATGCAGCCCGACCATAGATATCAGGTGTGGGTCGGCAGGGGATCGAACCCACGTCCATGTGCATGGTCAGCGAAAGTCCTAACCACTGTGCCACCGGCCGATATCAGAGAAGCTTTGAAATCTTTTCACTTGAGTATATCGTAAACACGTCTGTTTTCAGGGAACGAACACTGGATTTGTAGTGATAAAATGTAAATTATATGAGGACGAACAACATTTAAAGTATATGTTTTGCTTTCTTGAACATTTGAGAACAAAAAGTATTGGAAAGCAACTAGAAAGTTTTTAGGTAGCAAGTGTCATCTGTACTAGATCTAAATGCGTTGGCCGCAAATCTGCGATGTATTTCCGTTATAATTCATTGTAATAAATTCATTTCTACATATTTATATATAACCTGAAATCACTGCTGCACTAGCAATGATTACAGAATCACTTCATCCCTAGCATAGTGTGTGTCGGCGGCACAATGGTTAGGACGGTCGCCGACCACGCACACGGTTCGGGCTTTGATCTTCGGCCGACGCACACCTGATATAAATGGTGAGTCTGGTAAATTTAGGCTACACATTCTGAAAATTCCATACTTGTATTAAAATGCTGTTTTTAATCAAGCTATAATAAAAATTTCAAAGAATGATAATTATTATCCAGGATGGAATGTTTGACACTTTGTGCATACTGCAACAATTTGGCTCCTTTTATGAACTTATAAATATGTAAAATAATACGACCAAGAGAACTGAAAGTTAGTGGAACGTAGTGAATAGCAAATGGACTGTATGATAATTTTTTCCTTCACGTTCCCAAGTGGAACATAGGGCTTCAAGCTAGTGGCTTGAAGTTTCTGTGGCAGTGTTTAATTTTACAGAATGGGGTTGCTAGCCGTAGGCCCAACCTTTCCTCTTTACTAGGATTATTTCTAGCTTAGCAAGGTAAAGGAGTGCGTCGAATGGGGATCAAACCCCGGACCATGTGCATGGCCGCGAGGGTCCTAACCACTTCACCACCGACGCACTGTACAATGAATAATGTGTAATAATAATTCTTAATACGAATGGCGGTTTAGTTACCCATTTAAAGGGGTCACCAGTCATTTTCTGACATTTGTCTCTCCACACGAGACCTGTGCCAAATAAAGTTTTTGTAAATTTTTACATTTTACAATTCGAGCATAAATTCCTACGAAATTTCTCCTGCTGTTAACCGAGGAGATGAAAGGAAAAGTTGGGATTAAGGAAGATGCTTGCTGTCAGGCAAGATAACTTTAGCTAACTGCTTGCTAGAATTAAAATATCTGCAGACAACAATGTCACTCGGGTGAGTCACAGGCGTAGCACTAATCCTGACTACAGCCTCTAATGTTCCTCATAATATGACATAATTCCATCACAGAGTAAATTTGTCTGATAAAGTCTCACAGTATTACACATTATCTTTACTGATTTCACTATATAACGCTGTGAAATTTGAATAAATAAATGCACTCTATAGTGGAATTATACTGACACATGAACCAAGTTCCGTCCATATAATGTGAAATAGCCTTCCTCAAGAAGCCCAGGGAATAACAAGGAGATGGTATTAGATGGTTGGAGGCGATCGGCCACAGGAAGCCTTGGACCTAGGTTTCGTGCTAGTTGGCACTCGTCAGCAAGGCGTATCTGCAACCTTGAAGGAACTCATGTCCCTTCTGAGATTCGAACCCGCGTCACCCAGTGCTGCAGTCAGAGACGTTACCACTGAGTCATTCGGGGCCGCGATTGACCTCCTGTAGGACTGTAGTGGATATTTTAATTTGACACTAATAACTAGTGTGATGCATCTAGTCCTCTGATTGGTGTAGACTGAATTCTATCAGTCAGGTTGTAATGTGACCACCATTCTAGCTAGCTCGCCATCACGGTGCACATTGATTTGATGGTATTAGATGGCTGGAGGCAATCGGCCACAGGAAGCCTTGGACCTAGGTTTCGTGCTAGTTGGCATTCCTCAGCAAGGCGTATCTGCAACCGCGGGCCCGAATAGCTCAGTGGTAATGTCTCTGACTGCAGAACTGGGTGACGCGGGTTCGGATCTCAGAAGGGGCATGAGTTCCTTCAAGGTCGCAGGTACCCCTTGCTAACGAGTGCCATCTAGCACGAAACCTAGGTCCAAGGCTTCCTGTGGCCGATTGCCTCCAACCATCTAACACCATCAAATCAATGTGCACCGTGATGGCGAGCTAGCTAGAATGGTGGTCACATTACAACCTGACTGATAGAATTCAGTCTACACCAATCAGAGGACTAGATGCATCACACTAGTTACTAGTTTCAAATCAAAATAACAAGGAGAGGCAGTTAAGAAGAATCGGTGGAACCCGCGAACTAATAAACTGCAAGAGAAGAAGTTGAGTTATGCCACAAAGTCCAAACTACTCTATGTAATATGCCAAACGAAGCATTTTTTAGGAATCAACAAGACATTAGATGACTGACAGAGACTAGAAGAGAAACTGATGCCTACATTGAATACATATGGTTTATTATTATTGATTCGATTTTATCTGAACACATTTGATTTACTCGCCATCCCAGTGACGTAAAAATTGTAAAGATTATGTGAATGAAGCAGTGGACGCCAGTCTTCTTTGCATCTGAAACTAAAGTCAACAGTGGGATATCAAGACGGATTCATTACGTCTACGTACGGTATGTGCTTAAGACTAGTGTGTAGTGTGTGTGAGTTCCGTGAAACACTACTTCA